ATTAATTACCTTTTACTGTAAAGTTCGATGACGCACGGCGCATTTGATCTCGCTCATTTTTAGAGAGGTCTGTGTGAAATTCACCTTCAGACATGTATTCTCTCAAATTGTTGTAAAACACTAAAGTCTTCATTCTGTCAGATGCAATGCAAATCACCGTTTGTCACATGTAAAAACTCTGCAAATCACCGTTTGTCACATGTAAAAACTCGCGAATGCGCAATGCATATTTTGTCACATGTAAAAACTCGCGAATGCGCAATGCATATTTTGTCACATGTAAAAACTTGCGAATGGTTCAGACGGTCTAGATGTCAATTTTGTCCTACTTGGGTTGCCGTCCGGCGTTGTCCAATATGGCGGACCATCTCGCACATGCGCACAGCAGATCGGGCAGAACTGCAGATCGGGTAGTGACAACGACAACGGAAGTCCAAAAACGGTTATCGTCACGTGGTTCATGTAGAAGAGGATCGTTCCCCGGAAGTTCATGGCGGGCAATGTGAATGCATTGATAACAGGAGATAGAACTACGATTTTTGGTAATTATTAGTGAATAAAGGTTTTGATTTGCAATATTTATACAACAAATCAATATGTGTATGTATTTACATCAATATGTTTTAAAAAATTAAATAGAATTTGCTAATATTAAGTGATAATATTAGGATTAGTGTGAACAACTAGTTTACATGTTAGGCTAACAGTGCCTTGGTTAAAGAGCCTGTTTATTTATAGCTTTGAATTCTTTAAAACCAATATTATCTTCTTAAACTTGTATGGTAGTCAGGAGCATCACTTTCTAATGTGTATTGATATATTTAGAGGGAGGGGATCTAAAGTAATGCTTTAAAATTCAGATTAGATTCATGTCTACCATTTTCTTAAATTCATGGTAGTTTCAGTAATCCCATGGTAATTGAGGACACAAGTTATCTAAATGACTAATGTCATCTTTATGGCTTTCAGAAAGGACAGGAGACTATCAAAGGACTAGCAGCAGCAGCATGATGATGATGATGTTAAATGTGTTGTTTTAGGAACATCCATTGCAAATACATGGAATTCAATAAACATTGAATAGCATATCATGCAGTTTGTCTGTGCCTTTTCCTCCGTGTTGTCCTGGTTTGCGGTGCTGCCTCCTAGTCGCCACCATGGTTTGCTGTGCTGCCTGGGGATGCTCCAATCGCTCAGAGAAAGGAGTATGAATGTACAGCTTCCCCACTGACACAGAGCGGAGGAAGCAGGAGCAATTTCACAACCAACAGCAAAAAAATATGTGATTTATATACAAACACTGCATTTGCACTTTTTCACAAAATGAAAACCACACCATTGGGAAAGCTTAATGTTTTGTTTAATACAAAAAACAGGGAAAGGCTTGAAAAACACAGAGTTGAGACTCAGGGTGCAGGGTGAGGGTCTCAGTGCAGGTATTCAGGCTCCATTGAATCCCCCTCTGGTTCTTGTGCTGAAAGAGGGATAAACAGACAGGAGAAAGGGTTATACACACCTATATAGCACACCTATTGGATGGGAAATTGCCTTGGGGAGATAAGGTGTGGTCTTTGTTCCCAACTGAAGTTATGGAACTTTATTATTTGTGAGTTTAACAAAGTATGACAAATGGCATCAGTAACATATGTGATATGAATTTCTATAAAGTTGTCTCACATTCTTGGTCATATTGTATATACAGTATGTAATGAGTATAACATGTCCAGTAAGTATAAAGTGTTTCCTAATACTGTGTATTCAACCACTATGGAATATGTATGTGGGCAGACAAAACTGAGTTGTTCTGTGTGTGAAGTAATCTCAAGTCACTCCGCAGGCACATTTTGATGCAGACCAGTTTGTCAAGACAAAAAAGAGCAAGACTAGGCTGAGAGCAGAGGCTATACCCACCATCTTCGTGCATCGCCCTGTGGTCAAAAAGAGAAGGGCCCCTGCACCACGATTCACCCCGGGACCTGTATCTACAAAGCCCATAGCTCATGATCACAGCGATAGTGTGAAAGGTGACACAGGTATAATAAGTATGAACTCTTAGTAACAAAAGTAATATTTTTTATTTTTAAGTGGTATAATATTTTAAATGTTCGAACATTTACAGTGCCATGTCTTCTACTTACATTAGTCTCAAAGATTGAGGGAAGAAGGGAAGGGATCACTGCCCTCCACCTGCCAGAGGAGCGCAAACAACAAAAACAAGCAAGGTGTCCCGTCATGTACCTGGAAGTTTGGGTTGGCAAAATGGAGTAAGAGAGGGACTTGAAAAACCTTGGTGGCTCTCTACTCATGTTGTTACAGTTGTCTTGGTTACAGCTCTCAAGTTTTTTTTTGTGCCATTTCCACATCTTTAGAAAATATGAAAAAATTGAAGTGAAATCAACCTCTTCTCTGGAGAACAAACTTCGATTTCTCTGTCTTGTGAGTTTGCAGTCTTGCAGTTTTGCTCCTCCACCTGTAACATCACTGCCCCTCCACCTGCCATACAGTAGGTTACTAACAAGATTACTTATATAATACAGTGATATAATACATGTTTAGTATGCTTACTTATATAAAACAGTAGTATTAAACTTACCTTGTGTTTTCACACTCACTTAAGTCCCTCTCCCTTTACCATCAATCCAAAATCAGCTGAGCTGCAACATTATACAGACAGGTAATAATCAACATAATCACAAGGACACAATATGGCTCTGCTAAAAACACTCACTCTTACACGCACCAAAGTTATATTTATCTAATATTTAACTCCCTCCACCCCCGCATACAATCCCGTTTAGAAGCCCCTCTTCTCTAATTCAACAATGTTGGACCAAATAGACATTAAGAGAACGGAATTTACAATTAAAATGCTGTTCAACGTGTGTTGCTAACTTGCTTCGGTATCCTAGCTTGATCTGTTATCTGTAAACGTTCCCTAAATCTACTAATCCACTGACATCCTTTAATACACATGTTCAATTGAATCAGATGTACTGATAATATCCGCAATATAAATCTTTAAACTTCTTCTTACCTTTAAAAGTCCGTCACGAACGGTCTATTATGCTGCAACTCCACACCTCTGCTAGCCTTGGCGCTAACTTCCGGGGAACGAATGAGAGGCTCCATGATCCGCCATTGCTGTAAAAAAGTGGTCCATTGGAGTGAACGGAGATGTCATAACTATTCTATTATATGGCTCTGACATGGGTTAACAATACCGTGTAGCTGTCACGTTTGAAGGGACGAAACCGTGACATCTTCACGTCTCCCAGCATGGTAAATCGTCACATGTTCACGTCTTGCCGTGATACCGGGTTGCCTCCAACAGAGGGATGTCCTTGTCCTTTTTCCTTTTCGTCATTTCAAGTGATAAAAACTCTCGATCTTCTCTGGAATTATTAATATTTTTGGACGCCCTCGGCTCGAGTTCAGGGCGTTCCGAGCTGAATAAGGCCGTCAAATGACGGCAAGACGCCCCCCTGGCGGAAACGCTGGTCTGAAGCTAGTTTAATGTGTGCTAATTTAGCTAATAGTGATATGTGCTATTTCTAGCTAATAGTGATGCTAATGTTAGCTAATTCATTTAATAGTAGTATGTGTGCCGTTTGTACAGTGCTACTTATATGTTATGTAAAGCCTGCACACTTATGTGTTTTATTTCTGTATTGTTACCGTTTTACAAAGTAAAAGAAGAACAGTAAAGTCAAGAAAAGAAAACCTTGCATCTTTATTGGAGGACTTTTAAATGTTAGCTAACTAATGTTAGCTAACTGTCTAGCTAGCGCATTAATATATGAACCATATATCGAGCCCGATTCTCGATTTCAAATGTGTGCTCTAAAATGATATTTATAAATGATTATTATAAGCAAGACAATAAATGGCAAAGATATATAGAAAATAAACGTATTTAAGATACGTTCATAACAAACATAACGTGGGAGAAAATACGTTTCTAGCTAAACGTAATTGAGAATGCAGTTTAGTTCTGTGGGAACGTAATTTTTAGGAGACAGGGTTGGCCACATCTGAGAGTGCCAAGCTCTGAATAAAAACCACAAAGATCCTGCAGAGGGTGGATCAGCTGGCACTGTGTCTGCCTGTCAACTCTAACCATGAGAAATGAATACAAAGTGCTGGCTTCACAATAAGGTCCATCCCTTTCAGCAACAACCAACGTCCTGCTCGAACATGTTTTACTTTTTTTTTTAAATAGTCCAATAAATAATGACATTTTCATTCATTAGAAATAGATAAGATATTACATGGATATTTATACCAGAAAGGATTTTAAATACCTTATTTATTCATTCTCTAGTAACCAGTTAATACATAAAACACAATCACATAAAATAAACATATTATTACTGTAAATGACTCATCTTGCCAAATATATCCTGAATATCTGGCTGAGGATCATTGCATAATTGTTATAAAAAGGTCAACCGGCAGCCAGGATAGGTGGAGCAGAGCAGGGAGAGCATTCCGAAACGTGATTCATGTTGATGATGAAATGTTATCCCTTATCAACAATACGACAATATTATGTCTGTTTCCAGGTTAGTGACCCACTGTGACACATTACACTGATTATTATGACAACAAGGGTTATTCGACAGCAGGTGTTACTAACCAATAAATCAGTAGGCTGGAACCAAGAAGAGCTGTCTCCGATGAGAGATAAAGCTGGAAACCACGAAGCCTTGTTTTTTACTGTTTCTGACTCATGCTTCTTTTCCTATTCAATTCTGTTAGTTATTTTCTGAGGGGGGCACAATAAATGCAGGACGAAAAAGAGAACTAGACAGTATGAAGTAATTGCGCATAAGAAAACAATGCAATACAGTTATTGGTATTTGTTTCAGTACACTTATTTATTTCAGATAGATCTTATAGTTATTACTGTTAGCTTCAGCTGAAGTTATAGTGCAATGTTTGCACTAACACCATATTTATATAAAAATAAAGGCAATGAACAGTTACATGTCTCTACTTACATAAGGGTGTCTGCACAATCTCACATTACAGCAACAAAATCCTGCGGTTTTTGGCAAACCGAGTACCAGAAAATATACATTTAAAAAAAACAAAAAAAAAACGTTTTCATTGTTAGGGGGGCCAGTAAGTAAAAAATCACAAATCATCACAAAAGTAAGAACATTTCAATTTGCATAGCAACGATTTAGAGTGCAGTGTCGCCACAACCAATGAACTTAATAATACATTAAAGCACAGCTTTAACCTTGTTAAACATATGTCAGCATATTGTAGCACAAAACCCGGCTTGTAGAGAAGAACAGAGAAACCCTTTCTATGTGTGATCAGCCTACACATCGGTTAGCCTTCTCAATGGATATATTACTGTTAACAACAAACAAATCTGTTCATTCTTTTTGGAATATCCCTTTTTTTTTTACATTGTAAAATGTCAGAAAATTCTTGTTGACTATTTTAAAATCCTCGGCTGGTGTCATATACAGTCTCAATCACAAATATATTCAATCAACAAATAGAGAAAATCCTCACTTTCAAAATTGATGAATAAATAAAACATGATGAACTTGGTTCTGCATAAATGATCAAAATACTTGAACTTATAGAATAAGTTATAGGATACGTTTACAGTCGTATTCTGTCAGAAGGCTGTGAAGTTACAAGAGTTTGGGATGTTTAAAAAAATATATACATTCTCAATATGCATTCTCAGTGCATCTCAGTTAAATCACTAATCATCAGCGTGTGAGATGAATAGAGAACTTTGGTCGAGCAGATACTGGCAGCTTCTTGCATTATCATTACTATAGACTCTGAGAAGTAATAGAAGAAGAGCAGAAAACTAGCTATCTTTCCTTAAAGGGGTAGTATATTCTTATAAGTAGATGCAGTATATAATTTTAACTTTACCTTAGTGTATTTTATGCCTTCTGATAGCCCTTTCTGATGGGGAACTTAAGCCGCTATCTGTGCTCTCTTTTGAGACACCAGACCTCATCAAAAGTCAGGTCTCCTGCTGCCTTGATCAGTTTGTATGTCCAATTAATTCAAAACATGGCATGGGTCAAACTCTGACTATAGATAAGTATCATATTCAACCCTGCTTCTCAGCATCCAAACTGTCCCTTTACGTTTCCATGGGGTTAAAGGTGCAAACTACTTGCAGAGCAGATGTAGGTGATCCTAACGGTCAGATTACTGAGGCAGAAGGTCAGCACCGAAGAACACACGGTCTTCGTTCCCAACAATAAGTTCCTGGCATGATGATGTCACTCGCAGTATGCTGTCAGCATCCAGGAAGAACAGGCCGGCTGTATAGAGGGATTTATTCCACCTCTTCAATTTCTTACTCACGGTGTCTACTGACATCAGGAGAGGTTGATCAAGTTTGTAACTTTTCTGCAGAACAAACACTGTGCTCTTGAGCCTCAGGTTACAGTGGAAGTGACTCTTGCTCTCATAGGTGATCTGCAGGAAGACTCTGTAGATGCCGGCTCGGGGCACGACAAGGCTTCCCCCGGAGTAGATGAAACCTCCAAGACAGAAGGCATTTCCCTTATCACTCTCCCATAGAAGATAATCCCCATCAGTCTTATTGCCTGTAGGAGCTAAGGACGAGAGCAAACAGGTACAAGTGAGGTGATGACTGTTTCTGCTGACGGGTCCTTTTCTGACATTTTCACGAAAGCTGTGAATATGCTAAAGCACAGAAAAGCAACTATTTGCCATTAAAAGCCAAATGTTTTTATAACAACCAATCTCTTCAGTGCCTGTTTTGACTGATAATATGATCCCATCCATCAGTGAGGAGGAACACAGGAGGTATTCTGGTCAAATCAAAACGTCATGAGGAACCAAAGTATTGCTCAGGGTTCCCCTTACACATTTCTGCTTCGTGTTGTGCCATTCTACCGGCTGGGAAATATGTAAGGACAGAAAAAAGACAGAATTCCCTGCAGAATAGTAAATAGGGCTGCATTTATTTTTTAGTATCGATAAATATCATATGACAACACAGAAAAGCTGGTAAGGCTAAAAACTGCATTGTCTTGCATGCACGGCAGAGATTGTTAACTGCTACCCCTCGATTCCACCGGGTCCATCTGCGTCGCGGTTTTGGTCCGGCGTCATACCCTACCGGGGGCGTTTCAGGAGCATTTCAGAAGCGGAGCGTCTTGCCTGCCGGCTCGCAGTTTTTGTTGATTTGGGCATATTTCCTGGACAGACTACTTTGTACAGACAAAGTTAATAATAATTGTAATATTCCAGTTATAAACGACATGAATCAAAGATGTGTTGCTGTATTTTAGTGGTAAAAAAATGCATTCATCATCATAATTATTCTATATATATATATATATATATAATTTACACAGTGCCTGTAAACCGGAGGAGAACGCTGGCATTTCTCCTCCTACTTGAAAGACTACGGAGGGATAGGGTCTGCAAATTAGTTTATTTGGGGGATGGGACGGATGCTGTCACCGGTCCACTTCCTGCCCGGTGCCTCTGCAACGCCTCGCGTCGAAAAATTTACTTGAATCCTATTTTGAGCGGAGCCCAGCGCCGAGACGCTTCTGAGCCGTAACGCGGCGCATCTGGTGGAATAGCACCCATTGACTGGAGTGGCCGCGATCTTTGCGAACGCCGCGGCGCAGCCGTAACACGGCCGTAACGCGACGCAGACGGACCCGGTGGAATCTAGGAGTCGACACAGTGGTCAGTGTCAACTTTAGAGTCGACACACCCCTAACCCTAACCCTACAGCTACAATTGAAAATGTAGTCGATTGTTGTCTCTATAATATGATTATAAATTAAAAACATAAGTCTATATTCCTATACATGTTCCTATGGTTTGTTTTGTTTAAGTTGTGTAACACCAAAATACTATAGACTATTAAAATTGACGCGGTACATGTTGTGTTTACTGCCAAGCTGTTCTTCTTTCTTATCCTAGAGCAAGACCATCAAAGTCAAAATAAGCACCAATATTTGTATCTTTGTTGACTTCACTCTGAAACAAACATCAGTGCCTTTCTAGAAAAGTCCGTAGAACCCTAACCCTGCAATCTAGCGCTCATTTGCTACCTGTTAGCATGGCACTTGGATGGCCAGAGTTTTTCTGTTGCTGCTGTTCGAAGCTGCCCCCTACAAGACAAATCAAAGGTTGCTCAACACATGAATGAACAACTGCTTTCACAACATAACCTTTAATCTCAGTAGGATATAAATATGTACCTGATGCTTGTCTCTCAGGCTTCATCGTCTGCTGTAAGGAAACGCATTACACTTTGTATAATTAACAATGAAAATGCAAGACATTAGAATAACACAGACAAAAGGAATAATACAATACTTTAAATGCAGAAGAAAGTGTTTATTATAAGCACAACTGTAATTGCAATTGCTATTTATACAATAAGTATATTTTAACAAATACATGTGTTAATGTAGTTATTACATTGTTAAGTCTATGCCATTGTAAAAGCAGAACAGTATTTATTCAATTAGCATATTACAATATTCCTAGAAATGAACTAACTGAGGATCTAAATGTACAGTAAGTGATGATCGACAGCCTTCTGCTTCAGTGAAACTGTGTCGGAGGGTCATACACTGAATGAACAAAACATGTAAATAGTTAAATGTGCACCGTTTGAATGCACTTACCAAAGGGGCGGGTATTCGTCGGGAAACGCCGGTGTTCCAGATTAACTGGTTCCCTCGTCAACTGGTTCCCCGATCAACTGGGGTGATTTTCGATCGCTGCTTCTGTCGTTTACATAAATCTTTTGGTATATTTGGCTCGGTAGGAAGACTTTGATGCACATTCAGTACCAGTGTGTGAGGTTGTGGTTACGATGGAGATATCCGGACGCGAACAGCGGGGACTACAAAAAGAAAAACGAGTTGACTGGGGATGTCTGTTCAAAACATTGCGAGCTCCAATAAATCATTTAAACCAGCTATTGTTGCCAGACTTATTACTGAATATCGTTCTTAATGTGATGCCAAGTCCATCTGAGACCTATGTACACCTTCAGACAGCCTCCAAGTGAAGCACACGGTGTTTACTCACAGTTTGAAAGCAGCGTGGAGAAGTCTTCAGCTGTGAACTGTAAACTGTGATCCTCTCAGGGAAAAATGGGATCCGCCCAGGTTAAACTGTGTTACGACTTCTGTGGCTATCTACCAGCGATCATGATTAATATGAAAGACTACACACACATCCCTTTTATAAAAACAGTATTCTGCAGCACTCATCCAGATAAGATGTGACTGTTAACTCGTTTTGCAAAGATAGCAGCAGAAATGTCATTGCTGCTTGGGATATTTAGACTTTAAAATGCTGATGGGTCATTAATGTTGGTCTCGGCAAACAATATTAGGAATCCTCTATTCAAACATAATATTCAGTGTGCATCGACATGAAAATAACAAAAAAGTTCATGCTGGACTCAAACCCGAGTCCCAACAGCAAAAATCACTCGGGCCCTGCGCGTTATGAGTGCGCCACGGATCTACACAAAGTGTTACACCACCACACTTTAATGTCTTCGATGAACCTTGTTAAAAAGTTCCAGAAAAATGCAACCCGACCATCATTTATAATGTGAGCGAATGTATCTACACTTATAATATACATATTATAGTAGGCATTTGCTTAGAAATAGTATATAGGCTACTGACTGAGGTCTGTATCAAGCCTCACTAAGACCCACCGAGATCAGATATCCTAGTTGATCAGCCTGCGAGCCCACATTATGTTGTGATAACTGTTAATTGTACATATAAATGTGTTCCAGTGCACATAAAGTTCCAATATGCAAATCAGGCCATGTGTGTCGTTACATTTGCCATGCAACATTATGCTATAATATAATATTTAGCCTCATAATATAGACATTTTTAAACGCTAACTTTTTAAATAGGCCCCCATTTCCTTTTGCTCTGTCTGCTAATGCAGTAGCTGCTGGGATGTAAACCTGGACCAAAGCTGTTGCGCTAGAAACAGAATGCAATTAAAAAAAGGTTTATATTCTAGCAATACTGGCTGTCTTTTCTGTCTTGCGACAGACTCACCAAAATAAAATACTTTACAGCATAGGCATCACGTCCCCTATGGTGTGCTAAGGGCTAATTTTACATATTGCAACTATAATAACAGTTGCCAAATTCATGCTCTAATATGCAATGCAAGCTTTGCTTCTGTAGATAGACTTACTCATTAGTGTGACAGAAGGAAAGACAACAACAATGATAGTAATGATTCAGTATCAGCTTTATTTGGCATGTGTACACACACAAGGAATATAGCCAGGGGCGGCGGGTACTGTAGGCTAGGGAAGGCTAAGCCTTCCCAAATATTTTTGTCACTGCATGCAAGAAAAATATAATGTATAATGTGTGTGTCTTTGACATTAGCGCTGCTATGCAGCCACCTGTGCCCTGTACTACGAAGCCAGTTCAACAGACCCTGAATACGTTTGAGTTATCTTAACTAACCCTAACAAACGAGATCTCGCTAAGCGGTCATACGACGCTGGTTATCAACTCGGGAAATCAAGCCAGAGTTTCTCTCTCCAGCTGAGAGCGCGTTCACGTGAAAGGGGCGGGGTTAGCAACGTTTAGCAGCGTCATACTTCATTAATGAAAAGTAAACTAATATTAGACAAATATGAACTTTAAACATCCATGACTTAAACATATAATTCAGGATAAAAGCCACATAGTTGCACCTGCAAGGTGGGTTTTCTCCGGAAGTTTTTCCTTGTACGATGTGAGGGTCTAAGGACAGAGGGTGTTGTATTGTCATACTGATATTTTGTACAAACTGTAAAGTCCACTGAGACAAATGTAACATTTGTGATATTGGGCTATATAAATAAACATTGATTGATTGATTGAATACAGCTGGTAAAAGAAAAAGTGTCTGAATGCGCACATTAACAGTTTCATGATATCACTGCCCTGTCTAAAACACAAGTGGATCTGACTTTAATTACATTTGACTTGAGTGTTTCGTCAAACTTAATGTATTGCTTAAAATAATACAGTATGTGACACTGTGAGTGTTGCACGGCCAGATACGGCTCGAGAAGCTGACTCAGATAAGGAAATATATGATATATTATGATATGATCTGATTGATGATGTGATATGAATGATAAGTGTGACACGTCGGCGTCTTCTCTGCATACGGCAGTTTACACTGTATTTCCTTTATCATGTAATATGACTTGATAGATTTAAACTCCGCACACTGAGCTCTGATTTGTCAGCAGGCGGTGCTTTCACTGAGTTGAGCTCTTTTCTATAGACGCCGGGGGCGGGTAGCGTCAGGTAAAAAAAGTAGCCTTCCCAATCCTGAGCCTCATGCGCCGCCTATGAATATAGCCTTTTTCTGTCCTGTTGGGATCCAAACCACACAGCGATGGATGTACAGAGAATACTGTTTTTATAAAAGGGATGTGTGTGTAGTCTTTCATATTAATCATGATCGCTGGTAGATAGCCACAGAAGTCGTAACACAGTTTAACCTGGGCGGATCCCATTTTTCCCTGAGAGGATCACAGTTTACAGTTCACAGCTGAAGACTTCTCCACGCTGCTTTCAAACTGTGAGTAAACACCGTGTGCTTCACTTGGAGGCTGTCTGAAGGTGTACACAGGTCTCAGATGGACTTGGTATCACATTAAGAACGATATTCGGTAATAAGTCTGGCAACAATAGCTGGTTTAAATGATTTATTGGAGCTCGCAATGTTTTGAGCAGACATCCCCAGTCAACTCGTTTTTCTTTTTGTAGTCCCCGCTGTTCACGTCCGGATATCTCCATCGTAACCACAACCTCACACACTGGTACTGAATGTGCATCAAAGTCTTCCAACCGAGCCAAATATACCAAAAGATTTATGTAAACGACAGAAGAAGCGATCGAAAATCACCCCAGTTGACGAGGGAAACAGTTAATCCGGAACACCGGTGAGAAGGCTGCTGTACGCAAACTAGTTTAGGGTTTATTTGGACTTCCAGAGCACTTTGGTACAACGTTAAGACAACTCTAGCTAGCATTGAAACGTCGACCCATTTAAAATGCGTAACCGTGCAACGTCCTGTCCTTTGTGATTAGGAACCGCGAATAAAAACTCGCGAGCAGTTGCGTCAATTTAGTTAAAACTAGCTAGTTACTTTGAATGGCACAGATTTCAAAAATAATTAACACTTTATTTAGCCACTGTTGGAGTGTAGAGGTTACCTGGCTGTCCGGTGACACGGGGTGGCCTCGCCCTCCGAGCACCACCGTGAGAAGGAGAGCCAGAGCAGCGAGGATGAGGAGCAGCAGCCCCACGGTCACACACTGAGCCATGGCCGGGGGTCGCGTCTGTCTCCGCGGGGCAGGCTGGACCAGAGAGAGCGGCTGTAACGCCCCCTCCCCTCCGCAGCAGCAGCAGCAGCGCTCGGCCTCCATTTGTAGCTCAGTCTCCGGCTCCAATCCTGCATCTCTATTTATCAGCCTGCTGTCGCCCACGTTGACAATCTCTGCATTCGCAAGGAGTCTCGATTAAACCGAGTTTCAGTGAGTGTCACGACTCAAACATGAACTTCCTCTTCCTGCACTTTGTTTTCCGGACACTTCTCACGTTTCCACCTCAGCAGGCGACAGGGATTATCAACAAGAACGTCCACACTCCCACCTGGTTTCAGAAGTTGGCCCATCATAGGAATGTATTGATGTTTCTCCTGTCCAGTATCACATGACATGAGCCTGATACAGGGACGTGCACAGACATTTGCAGGGGCTATTGCTCTAAACTGGAAAAAGCACCTCCCCCCGAAAAAAAATATAAGACCTTTTGAAAATTGTAACTTGTTTTTAATGTAAAAGAAACCAAACGATTTTTACATCAACTAAATTGAACAGTAATTCACATCTCATAACAAAATAAGCTAAGGCGACTACTTGCATTCGGTGACTTGATTTTAAAAATGTTTTGCGGTCCAAAATATCTAATGTTAGGAACTATTAAAGACAAAATGGGGACAATTCTGTTCCAATGTAGTTTGACCATTGTAACTGTTGTGCAGGACATACTGATAAAATAGGGCCTCTAACTAATTACCTTAAATAAACTCACTAATTAATTAAACCAGTTCAATACATAATGTATTCTTATTCTTATCATTCTTTATGAGCACAGTAACGGTAAGGTATCTAATTACTTATTTATTTAGTATTCCATAACTTAATAACAGAGATGGTCAAACTAAAGTGGTAGAGACATGGCAGAAATCCTACAATGAAGCGGGACATTGAACTGTACCTGTGTGAGAGGGCGATCAAGAAAAGAGAGCGTGCGGCCCCATTGAGGGAGTTGACAGATGAGAAGACACAGAAAGACAGAAGCACAATAACAAGTAGGCCTAAGCTATATTTAGGTGTTTTTTTGTAAATAACCGACGCTATCAAGAGGAAGTAAAGTCCCCTGGGTTGTCGCCTGGCATGATGAGACAACTCAAAATCAAGTTTCCAAAATCCGACACTGAGGTGGTCTTAACCATAGGTCTTAACCCTATGGTCTTAACGCACCGTCAGATGACAGCGCTGACAAAGTGTGTTTGCCGCAGCGAGACGCTACAATACTAATTGTGGGCTTATCATGTTGATTCGGCCACAACAGAAAAAAGAAAAACAACCTCTCGCTCTCTCCAGAGGGGCAGGTCAGCCAAAAATGCCGTTGCTCGGGCAACATTAGCCCGTACCTGCGCACGTCCCTGGCCTGATACACCCCCTTGCTGTACATACTGAGATTTGTGATGTTCAGTGGGGGAGGGGCCAATGAGGGTAGGCTCATTCATCTCTACCAGAGCCCTAGGCCCCTTCTCACTTCTCTTATTTTTCATTTTCTCGCTTCTCGGGTCTCACCGGAAGTTGATTTGTCTGCGCCATCTTGAGTAGCGTCCCAATGGCCTTATTTCTGCCAGAGGATCGAGGACCGAGGAGCGATAATGGAGGAGCTATAAGCGAGGAACCACCAGACCATCCTTCGATGAAATCCTCAGATACTCGCCCCGCCCCCTTACTGTGTATCGCTCACTGATTGGACGATGCAGCGCATCATGCACTGATCTGATGCTTCTTGACATGAGAGCAGTTTCCCAGCGGAGTGAAGAAAACACATGAACCTCACGAGAGTCACTCCTCAGTTTATACCGTGTTTTGTTTCAATTCATGTCTCATTTAGTTACAAATATGTGATATATCTGAACAACAAAGTGGTCACAAATCATTTTATTCATTTATTGGAAACATTTTCATGATCGCTTTTTTCGTTTTACATTTTCATTTATTGTCATTTCCATTCAGTCAGTCATTAAGTGCTATTTAAAATGTTAATGTGCTGCATATCCACACAAACAAACAAAGTGTGCAATCCAATGAATGTTAATCTAACTGGGTTTTCATAGATAAGATATCTCTTTTTCTTCTCTCAATTATTTTATTTCTATTGTGCACTCTAATCAATATTAATCTAACTATTGTTCGTTTATACATTTTAAGAATGGCGTTTATCTTTTTTGAGAATGAGTTCTTATTTTATTTTATTTATTTGGGTCTACAACAGATGATACAAATGTTTGTGTCAGTAAATGTGTACTAACAGAGGCGGGGGTGTGTGTGGAAATAACGGGGACAGAGCTGCTGTCAGACGATCAGCTGTGCAGCGTCATCACAAACGGACGTCGCTTCACGTGACGCTCCGGAGGAAAGGACGTCCCATTGCTCTTAAAACTCATTTCCCTGCTTCTCGTGGTTTCCTTGCGTCCCTCCATGCTTCCCTGGTGGGAGGGACTAGACGCAGGGAAACGACGCAAGTGAGGGACGCAAGGAATCCATTTAACCGAAGTGAGAAGGACCCCTAGAGATACTAAAGAGGTTTCTCAAGACTCAAATGTCCCCTCCTCGACTCCTCGGTCCTCCGGTAGTGACCCGGAAATGAATTTCAGCGCGCCATGTTGAAGGACATCTCATTTCTCTAAATGCACTTCGAGGACCGAGCATCGAGCATCGAGGAGGCTCTCTGGAGGAGCTCTAACCGAGGAGACACTGATGCATCCTCCACGGCTCCTCCACGGATGCATTTCCGGGAACGGTGGAGGCGTGACGCACGGCCGGACTTATTTCAGCCAATGACAGCTCTGCATGCATCCCCTGGATATTATCTTCGTAACTGCTTTCATCGCAACGCGATGTTTCCAGAGAGAACAGCTGTGAGGTCCGTGCAGAAAGCAGAGCAGTGTGTATAATATATATCACTGAGTATAACAGGCCTACTCTCTTCATTTGCTTTAGTTTAGTAGATATCTACAAACAAAGAGTCGATATTTTTCTAAGACCATTTAGTGCTTCACATAATAAAATACACAACGGCTGTAGCCTGATTATGCTTTAGGAGCTGTAGGTGTGTGTGGTACAGTGTGTAGGTGTGTGTGTGGTACAGTGTGTAGGTGTGTGTGTGGTACAGTGTGTAGGTGTGTGTGTGGTACAGTGTGTAGGTGTGTGTGTTGTACAGTGCGTAGATGCAGCGGACAGACGGGTCTCAGTTGGTTTGGTGTCCTCTGCTTACTTTTAATACTTGTACAAATTTTGGCCCATAATTTCAATTCCCCATTTCAGCGACCAGAGAGAGAGGGGGGGGGGGGGATATATCCAGTTTCTGATTGTGTTACGTTATTATGAGAGTGCTCTCATACTTGTTTGATTCTGAAATTGTATATATTTATATAAATATATGTGTGTGTATATGTCTGCATCTGTAGCCTGTTATTGTCTCATTATACCGCACTGTCAATGAATTAAAAGTAAATATATAAGTCATCATGAACATATCTGTCCATCAGACAGAGGGCTGCTGTGCCTCCTGTCATCATTAATGGACGTCTCTTTAAAATGACCGCTCAGAGGAGAGGAGTTCTCATTTCTCTAACCGCCTGCTGCTTCCCCTCCTCTCACCTCGGTTCCCCTCCTCGGCTCCTCCGCTCGCATCTCCGGTGGGCGGCACCAAGTCTCGAGGAGGGGAGTCGAGGATAGGAGTCGAGGAGGGGAAATTTGAGTATTGAGAAACCTCTCATGAGTTACGACACTCCCATAGACCTCCGTTGTAAAAAATGGCGGCGCCTACTTCCGGGATATGGACATCGAAATAGTTCCAAATATTGTCATTTGGGCGTTGGACCTCACTCACATTATGGTGCGTCGATTAGTTCCAGAGGTAAGTTGCTGAAATATCGAACTCTTTTGAATTGTCAACTGTCTATATTGTATCAGAGGCCCTTTATGATGCTTATACTGGTCTTCATTTGTATATGCACAGCGTAATTATCTATATTTTATCTTGGTTGTTACAACCAATTTTGCTATATTGCCTGCTAGTTAGCTAGCGCGACTTCGTCAGCTTTGAAGGTAAGATTTCAGTAATGAATCGCTAGCAGCTTATATCAATGATGCTGGGTAACTAAGAAGCAGGATTTAGATTGATTATGTGTTTTTTTTGTTATTTTGGTTTTTATCTGCTGAATCAGCCTCCCTGTTCCCAGATGCAGCTCCACGCTAGGCGTGATGGACATCTCATCCAAGGTGAGCACACATTTCTTCTCCATCTCACTCATGCCATCTGCCTTCAGCCTCAGCATATCAAACACCTCCCCCAACACTCCTGGCTCCAGTTTGACCTGCTGCATCCTCCTCTGAATGGTCCTGATGTCAGGCAGAGGCATATTCATGGCTTGGAGGGTTTTATCAGGGTTGCCAACTCTCACGGCCCGTCTACACTACAGGCGTCAAAAAATGCTTTCAACGCTTCGCCCATTCATTTGAATGGGGTGACGTAGAAGATTTTGAATCTTCGCCGAACTGCATTGTGGGGAGCGGAGCATGGCTTTGCAAGCATCGTGAGCATCAAAAGTTGAGCAATGTTCAACTTTTGATGCTCCCGATGCTGGCATCAGCCAATCAAATCCCGTGTATGCAAATCCCGCCAGTACAAGCGCTAGCCAATCAAACCGCGTGCAAGCTGGGAGAGCCAGACCGCAGTTCATTTCCTCATATTCCAAACGAGAAATTACGGTAGCAAATCACCCGGTTCTTTCCGACCAGAACTATTTACCGGGATACAAACCGGAGGAACCAGGCATGGAGGGAGGTGGCAGAGACAGTGGGTGAAACTGGTAGGTTTTCGCCTGTTTGGGGATTTTATATCCAGTTTACTTCGTTTTAACATTGCTATTGCTTTGTATGTCGGGGGCGGGAGATTCATGTGATTGGTTGTTGGTGGTGTTGCTTGCAAAAAATCGCCACAGGCACACAATAAAACAGTGGAATCAAACATGTGTTTGACTTTCATTAGTGAATGAAACTGTGTGCCCTTTATAGTCTGTGTCCAATATTGTGTATTTGTATATATTGTATATATATCCTATATATATGCTAAGGTCCCGCTACTGACACGATAGCAGTCATTTAGTGCGCATAAGTGTAATTTAAATATCAAAATCTCACTCCAGCCAGGAACCCAAATTTGGCAACACTGGTTTTATTGCTTTTTTCACGGTTTCTTTCCCCCACCGTATCCCACCTTTTTTTGATTGCCCAAGTGCTCTAATTTGGTCTGTGTTGAAGATTTTTTTAAACTTTAGATTAATCATATTGTGTTTTTTTTTTAAAATGCCGAATGAATCCTTTTCTGGTTACCAGAGCCCTCTCTGCTCTCTTTCTTAGTAATCTCTCCCTTCTCAGTTGCCTCATTAGATCCTCCACGTGAGCCCGGTCACAACTGGCCCTTGGCAGTCTGGTCCCTGGAGCACCTGACGCTGGCAAACTGGCCTCTTCATAGCTGACCCCTGACTGACTGGCTCCTGGCACACTGATCTCTGGTAAGGTGGCCTCTTGATTGTCGGCCCCTGACATACTGGCCCCTGGCAGTCTGCTGACATCTGTCTCACTCTCTCTGTCTGTTATGTCCCTTTCATTCCCTTGGAACTCCACCTCAATATCTCCCTGAATCTCTGTAACAATAACAAGGCAATCTTGCTGTTATATGTGTATGCTGCCTTTACATGTGCACCTATTGTCATTTAAGGGTACACTACACTCCTACTCTAAGGTACTCGAAAGGAGGGTCAGGCCGATTGTCGAACCTCAGATTGAGGAGGAACAATGCGGATTCCGTCCTGGTCGTGGAACGACGGATCAGCTTTTTACTCTCGCAAGGATCCTGGAGGGGGCCTGGGAGTACGCTTATCCGGTCTACATGTGTTTTGTAGACTTGGAGAAGGCGTATGACCGAGTTCCCAGGGAGTTACTGTGGGAGGTGCTGCGGGAGTATGGGGTAAGGGGGTCTCTACTCAGGGCCATCCAATCTCTGTGCTCCCAAAGCGAGAGCTGTGTCCGGGTCCTCGGCAGTAAGTCGGACCCATTTCCGGTGAGGGTTGGCCTCCGCCAGGGCTGCGCTTTGTCACCAATCCTGTTTGTAATATACATGGATCGGATTTCAAGGCGTAGTCATGGGGGAGGGGGTCTGCAGTTCGGTGGACTAAGGATTGCACCACTGCTTTTTGCTGATGATGTGGTTCTAATGGCTTCATCGGTCTGCTACCTTCAGCACTCACTGGATCGGTTCGAGTGTGAAGCGGCTGGGATGAGGATCAGCACCTCCAAATCTGAGGCCATGGTTCTCAGCAGGAAACCGATGGACTGTCCACTCCAAGTAGGGAATGAGTCCTTACCCCAAGTGAAGGAGTTCAAGTATCTCGGGGTCTTGTTCTCGAGTGAGGGAACAATGGAGCGTGAGATGGGCCGGAGAATCGGAGCAGCGGGAGCGGTACTGCAGTCGCTTTACCGCACCGTTGTGACGAAAAGGGAGCTGAGCCAGAAGGCAAAGCTCTCGGTCTACCGGGCCATTTTCGTTCCTACCCTCACCTATGGTCATGAAGGATGGGTCATGACCGAAAGAACGAGATCGCGGATACAAGCGGCCGAGATGGGTTTTCTCCGCAGGGTGGCTGGTGTCTCCCTTAGGGATAAGGTGAGAAGTTCGGTCATCAGGGAGGGACTCGGAGTTGAGCCGCTCCTCCTTCGCGTCGAAAGGAGCCAGTTGAGGTGGTTCGGGCACCTAGTTAGGATGCCACCTGGGCGCCTCCCTAGGGAGGTGTTCCAGGCACGTCCAGCTGGGAAGAGACCAAGGGGTAGACCTAGGACCAGGTGGAGGGATTATATCTCTTCGCTGGCCTGGGAGCGCCTTGGGATCCCCCAGTCAGAGCTGGTTGATGTCGCCAGGGAAAAGAAAGTTTGGGGCTCTCTGCTGGAACTGCTACCCCCGCGACCCGACCACGGATAAGCGGGAGAAGATGGATGGATGGACTACACTCCTATAGTGACATTCATCTAAGTTTGTCTATTGGCAATGTTAAAGTATGAAGAAATCTGTAGATGATCTACATGTGGTATATGAGTCTTCAGAGAATCCCTGAACCCTGGTAGTTTTGAAGCTGTATAATCTGAAGGTTGCATTAGGAGTGTAGTCTATCCTTGAATTATATAACATGGGAAACATTGTTAGCTTCATATATCATACCAATGTTTGATGTGCCATAATAGGTGTGGTCATCATTCCTGACAGCTGGAGGCATACTCCTTGACGTGGATGTCCTCCTTTTCGGCTTAGGCCGATGTATAAATATTGTTGGAACAGCATCTGGCCTCAACCTCAAATTTCCTCCTGATTTGTTGCCAATATATTGGTCGTCTTCAAAGTGTACCTGTAGGTAGGTAGGTTTGATCAGTTTCCACTGCACACTTCAAATGTCATTGAAGAGTCATAATTCTCTACACTTGGAAATATGATGCCCTTTAAAATGTTAACAAGTCATGTCACCTCTGTGAACATTACTTACATGACAGAGTTTTCTGCTGTTGTTGTTGTCCTCTGTCAGACACAGGTTTTGTCTGTTGACCATTTCCATCCATCTCTTCCTTCGCTCTACGTCCTTAGGGAAGCCATACATCCGGAACCCCTTCTCGGATCGATTAGGGGTGCTCACACTTGTTTGGCTGGTGAGCTACTTTTGAAATGACCAGCTCACCGAGGTCTACCAACCAAAAATAAAATCCCAAATTGCAAGGGTTGCTGAATAACACGTTTTATTTATGGGATAACTACAATAGGGCTGCAACAAACGTCTATTTTGATAATCGATTAATCTATCGATTAATGGAACGATTAATCGACTATTCGGACTATCACTGTACGCCTTGCACAATTTCTCAAACGCTCTTATTTAGCCATCAACTTTTAGATTTAGCTTGAGGTTGTTTTAGGCATGTGGAAACTAACAATGAAGACAATAAAGATGAATACTTGATTCAAAAATACATATATTATTAAATGAACTTAACAAATTGTTTACAAAATTAACATTGCTTTTTATTTAAATTAAATAAATAATATTTCACATCAAAATAAACAATGTTTTAACAAATCGTATTAAATAACCTGATGACAGAACTGTAAACAGAATAGCTGAAACTTTAACAACATAAACTCTGTTTCCTCTAATCATTAACCCATGTTTGTATACTTGAGTTAACTCCGTGTGTTGCTGCTAGCATACATAACACCTGACGTGGAAACGTTACTCGTGGATGGGGCTACAGAGCTACTAGAAAGACAGTCGAACCCGGTGCATTCCTCCGTCTGGATGTGGAGCACTTTTGCTAAATGTTTAGATAAATTGCTCGTGTTACCGCCCTCACATGCTAAACACTCTTGGCAAGGAGCATTGTCCACCTCAAGACGGGTAACATTTAACCACACCTCGGAGCGCTTAGTTCTCTCCGCCATCTCCTCCGTGTGTTGCTGCATGTAGCAGCTGCGTGTGTGTAAACTGCCCCGCCCCCTCGCGCACAGAGAGAGATCTCGTCTCGATTGGAAAGATCAAAAATACACCGACCATAGACGCATTTGTTTTGTCTTTTTGCATGTTAAGACTGCGAGATAATGTTTGTGTAGCAATAATACATGACCTTTCTCTTTCTCAACTCGCTACTCGGAGGGAAGTCGCTGTCATATGCCTTGTGAACACTCCGATAATGCCTCTCCACGTTACCTTTCTTTGGCAGAGCGACGCTTGCTTTACAAATAAGGCAAATAACCTTTGAATGTGACATCACAAACAAATATTCTTCCTCCCATTCTGGGTGGAAGTGGTATGTCTTTAGCTTCTTGCTCGGTCCCGCACTCATTTTGTTGTTTGTCTCTTGTTTGTCTCTTTAACTTAATTTGAGTTTTCCCGGCACTTGACTGATTTTGTATCGCTTTGCATTCTGGGTTAACAGACTGGAAAGCGATAGGTCGCTTTTTCTGTCAATCAAGTAAACTCCTGAATTAAGTGGCAGGAAGGCCAAGGGAGGAGGGATCAAAACCTGTGTTTGTCTATTTTAACGGAGCTGGATTTTTTTTTTTAATGAATGACTCGGGATCTACCAGCTTTGCCGGTCGACCGCGGTCGACGTACTGGGCACCTCTGGATTAGAGCATCCAAATGCTGCACATTCAACCATGGTATGACAACTACGGAAGAGGATTAGGGCCACATAAAACATTTTTTTGTGAGGATTTGAAAAAAATATTATTATTTTTTGTTCTGAGAAAAAAGTCAGAATTCTGACTTTAATCTCAGAATTCTGACTTTAATCTCAGAATTCTGACTTTTTTCTCAGAACAAAAAAAAAAAAAATATTTGGGAGAAAAAAATCAGAAATACCGGTAACTGTCGAACCAGCTTCACTGCGATTTACACATTGCAGTAGGCAACAATGGAGGACGTGAGTGAATTTCTGCGCGCCAGAGGGGTCCAAGAGGAAACCATATTGCAAATGGAAGAACAAAAGGTGAGTTATAAATATATAAGTGTGTTTTGGGCGTTCGTAAAAACAACGAAAAGGCGTTAGAATATGAAATGCAGACATTGATGAGCTAGCAGCAAGTGCATTAGCTTATATGCTATGGCTCCCCCCATCTAATTCAGTAAATAATGGTTTAGTTCGTTGACACGCAAGTTTGTGCTTGTTGGAACAGTGGCGACTAACCAAGAGCAACAGCCTGGTGGTTTTCATGTTTCTGTAGAGAAGATTTCATTAAGTGTGTTTAACAAGGCAGCTAGCTGACAATCAGAAGGCTATTAACCATCAAAATGATCAACATCTCAAACATCATCTCGTCTAGAATGGAGTAAGACAGTTGTGGTTGTGGCCCACAACCACAACTGTCTTACTCCATTCTAGACTTGTTTCATAAAATGCGTATTTTTTTACAATATATATATATATATATATATATATATATGCCTATATATACGCATTTTATGAAACAAGTTAGTGAGGTTAACAGTAAGAATGTTTAACACTTTCTGGCTTTAAATTAAAGGTAGGATTTGTGTTCCTGCATATAAAGTGTTCCTGATAAATAAGATCCGTACTCCGTAATGGACACTTTTACTGAGCATATACTGTGTAAAATAGGAAGAAGAGTCTTAACCTTACAATATTTAAACAATATATTTTCTTTTCTTTTTTGCAGATTAAAAGCAACGTTATTGTCTGATGTACAATTCAACTGCCATATTACAACCCCTCCTACGAATACCAAATTGTCCTCTTTATATTCTGCATTACATCAGTTTGCTGCGCTGCTCACAACAATGCCTGCAGAGCCGGATTTGGATGACTTAATTAAACTATACTTCAGACTTTCCCTAAGTAACAAAGAAATACTTGCTATTTTGGCACACACTAATCACATTGTAATTAGTGTCCGAACATTAAAGAGAATTTGTAAAAGACTTAACCTGTTCAGGAGGAAGAACCAGTCTGACTTGGAGGAAGTGCTAGCTTTTGTACAGCATGAGATCATGACTAATGGACAGATGCAGGGATACCGTTGGCTTCATCTCCGTGCAATTCAACAGGGCCTTGTTGTGTCACAAGATAGCATAAGACGCATCATCAAACTGGTTGATCCACAAGGTGTGGAATTAAGACGAGCCCACCGCTTGAGAAGACGTCAGTACAGATGCAGAGGGCCAAATGCACTTTGGCACATGGATGGTTATGATAAACTAAAGCCCTATGGCATTGCCATCAACGGCTGTATAGATGGTTTTAGCCGCTATGTGTTATGGATGGAAGCCTATATCACAAACAGTGATCCTAAAGTAGTTGCAAGTTACTTTATCAAAACAGTTTCAGGTATAGGTGGATGTCCAGAGAGGATTCGTGCAGACAGGGGCACGGAAAATGTTTCTGTTGAAGAAATGCAGATGTTTTTGCGAAGGAACCACCCAGACAGTTTTGCTGGGGAGAGAAGTTTCCTTTATGGAAGAAGCACAGCAAACCAGCGCATTGAAGGATGGTGGGGTATACTCCGCAAACAGAGTGCGCAGTTCTGGATGAACCTGTTCCAAACTCTCCAGGAAGATGGCCACTTCACAGGAGACTTTTTGGACAAAAGTCTTATCCAATTATGTTACCTTAATCTTGTTCAGGTAAAATATTTTATTTATTTCTGAGATTAGTCATTAATAAAAGTAGTATGAGTAATAATAATATTATAATTCACTATGTTCGTGGACATTGCAGCAACCTCAGCCTCCATCTAGACAGGTAGAAGTTATGTCCGAAAGCTTCTTAAGACATGTGTCGTCTACATTTACTGTGCTTTTTTTCTATGCAGGATGAACTTGATGAAGTGGTCAACACCTGGAATTCCCACAAAATCAGACCAAGATCAACTGATGACACAGCATCTGGTCGGCCAGTGATTATGTACTCATTCCCAGAGTTGCACAGTGCTGAGGATAGACTCAAACCTATTGCCATGGAGGAGGTCAATTTGTGTATGTTAGAGTGTACTCCCAAAGGCCAGTTTCCATGCGATGAAACTGTTTTTGAACTGTGTTGTCTACTCATGGCGGAAAACGGATGGGATGATCCAGCAGATCCATTTGCTGCAGCTGATCTATACATCCTGTTACGAGATGAAATACGACGACAAGTATTTGATTAATGGTACATGTAGCGTACATGTCATTATGCAAAACACAAAATACTGTTCAGGACAAAACTGACCTTAAAAAATAAGTAATTATTTAGTCAAAAATGTATCAATAAAAATCATAGTCAATGGTATTTCATGTATTCCTTAAATGTTTGTCTCTCAACACTATTTTCATTTTTCTTTACAGCTTTTCAACAGTTTTTTTTTAATGGTAGCCTACTGTATGTATGGGCCAAATCTTTGTTACATTTTTCTACATTGTATACACAAATAATGTACCATGTGTTACACAATGGTAACAACTGATTGCTAATTTTCACTCAGTTGCCAGATTGTTTCATGTGCGCTCTAAAAACAGTAAGGGACCAGTCATTAATATTGCTGCAACTGAGACGGCTTTGCTTACACTGGGCAAACTTCCTCCTTTAAGAAAGGATAACAACGCCATTCGCTGACATAACAAACCTGCTAGTGCCATTTATTGGTGAATACAAACATCACTTGAGAATGACTTATTGATTGCCACATGCATACAATAATGAACATGTTAATTTTTCAGTATAACTCCATTGTTTTTACTAAAAATGTCTGATCACATTCTTGCAAAAGTGTAAGCACAAATTGAATGATTTAAGCAATAGATACATCATTCACACCTTTTTGCACAACACATTCATTAAATGGATCAGATTGTCTTTATGCAGTAACACATTTTATTTATTTCAATTACTTATATTTCAAAATGTGGTTACATTTATGTATTCTCGGAACTCAATGAAACAATTTAGCCGTAATAACTTGAGGTGAACCGACTTTGGGAGCTTGGTTGTGAGTTCATACTAATAGGAGCTCATTGTATCCAATGCTGATACAATGACTATGTCAGTGCAGTATTCATCATATGTTCTCAGTATTGATATACATCAGTCTTTTACCTGTATCACCATAACATTACAACCTAGTGTTGGCAAAAATAAACAATTAACTTTATTAAGACAATAAAGGATACCATTTCTAGACAATTAAATACACATTTGTAAAAAAGGCATCAAGAATTCAAAGCATAGATAAACAGAATGGTAGTGTTCTTAATGAATTTTCAATTATTTTATCATTGTTTTTAATGCCACATGACTAATTAAATTCTCACATTAGTGTCAAATATGAATTACTATAATATATTTTAGAGAAGTCTTGGAACAACTATTGTAAAGCTTATTTATTCAATCACTTTATACCCATAAGAATAGGAAACTTTATCAACATTCAATCGAAGGCCTGCATACAAATGTGGTGTAAGAAAATACATTTGATTCACAATGTAACCTTAACTTACATTTCAATGTTAAAAGTAACATTTAACAAAACATGAGAATTCCGCACAAGGATGACCGGAAAATTACAGCCCTTTTGCTTTGCTTTTTTTTTTAAATTATTGGTTGATCCACAAGATGTGAAATATAGAAACGGAAAAAATATCTGCCTGTAATGTGCCAGTGCAATAACAATTATTAAAGTATCCAAAAATAAAAGATAGGTTTTGTTGCACACAACAATGCCTGCAAAACAGATGTTGAGACTTAATACAATTTACCTTCAGAATGTCTTTCAGTATCAAAGCAATACTTGCAATCTTAGTAAAAAGCAAACAATTGTAATCATAACTTCTCATAACTGGTAGAAGACTAGTTCAGTCTGTTTATATGCACATCTCATAGGTGTGTGTGTGTGTGTGTGTGTGTGTGTGTGTGTGTGTGTGTGTGTGTGTGTGTGTGTGTGTGTGTGTGTGTGTGTGTGTATAGGGAAAGTGTGTATGTGTATCTACTTGTTTAGAAGAACCAACCAGTCCACCACTTGAAACGTTAACAAGACATTTGGAATCAAGGCAATGTGACACCTGAGGAAACATTTGATCATACAACATTTTAAGCATTATTTTAAGATTATGTCTTAATTACTTTTTACACTAGTATAAAATATGTTCTAAATAAACAAGATGTGAAATATAGAAACGGAACAAATATCTTAAAAATAATGCTTAAAATGTTGTATGATCAAATGTTTCCTCAGGTGTCACATTGCCTTGATTCCAAATGTCTTGTTAAAGTTTCAAGTGGTGGACTGGTTGGTTCTTCTAAACAAGTAGATACACACACACACACACACACACACACACACACACACACACACACACACACACACACACACACACCTCTCAGATGTGCATATAAACAGACTGAACTAGTCTTCTACCAGTTATCTCAGTTATGAGAAGTTATGATTACAATTGTTTGCTTTTTACTAAGATTGCAAGTATTGCTTTGATACTGAAAGACATTCTGAAGGTAAATTGTATTAAGTCTCAACATCTGTTTTGCAGTCATTGTTGTGTGCAACAAAACCTATCTTTTATTTTTGGATACTTTAATAATTGTTATTGCACTGGCACATGTCTTAATTACTTTTTACACTAGTATAAAATATGTTCTAAATAAACAAGTATGCTTTGAACAAGGCACTTGCTTTGCAACTTTATATTCCAGTCAATGGTCAGATAAGGGGTTAGCTACACATTCATGCTTTTACACAAGTTATTCACCTGGGTAAGTGGCATATCATTTTACAATTTACACAAAAAGTAAGAGGGAGCAAACAGTACATTGTATTTTACAACTGTCTGTTTCCATATAAGAACAATGAAGCATGCCACTGTTCTTGTTTGAATCCTTAAACATCTTAGCAGTATTAAAAGGTCTTGAATTACATGAACAAATTACATTTCTGTCAAGTCAGGTTTGTGTTCTGCAACTGGAGAATAATAGTCAATATGCAAGTTTGTTGTAGTTTGTGAACACACCACCAAGTTTGTGTAGTGAAAGATGGGCTCCCTTCTGGCCAGCTGGACTTCTCTATAACTATTAAAGGTCCTGGTGAAGTGCTTCCCAAATATACAGTATAGCACACCATTACTTGCAATTCTGCACAACTACTTCGAACATGAAAAACTCTTAACAGTTTGGATTGGTTTGGTTATTGTTGTTGGAGTCTAAACAATGTCCATAACCCACACATTGCTCTCAAGAACTGCATTGAATTCTGAACGGAAATCTGGGAAGTTCTCATAGCTGTCAGCTATGTGCAGAATATTCCCACATGTGTGTGCAATCGGTCTTCTTGTGAACTCTGTCATTTTCTCAAATCCCACGTAGATGCTGTCTGTCACAATGAGATCAGATCCTGTGCAGAACCGTAGAAACTTCTGAAGTTTACTCTCATCTAGCTCTCTGATGAATCTTTTCAGATGATTTGCTACCTCTTTTTGGTTTGTAGTCAAATCAACATCAAATTTCAGTAGTTTGCAGACTTTTTTTGTGGTGGGTTGCAGGTCAGACAACAACTTAGTCAGTGCCTCTGGACTGAGGTTGAGATGTTGATGGTTAATCTCCCTCCAGCAGTCAATAACGAACATTGGTTTTTGGACCATCTCTTTGTGGGCAATTTCTTCAATTATTTTAGGAAGATTCTCTGCGCTGACTTTCCTTCTACAGCCATAGCTGTCGAGAACCTCCAAAAGGTCATCAGTGTCAACTGCAGTGAAATCAGTCAGCGCTTGCATCAAAACTTCACGTTCTTGGCTGCTCACAAATTGCATAAAATATGCTTTGAGGTCACTGTACACATTATCAAACAGCACCTGTTCAAGGAAAGGCAGTGCAAGTTTGTTTGGGAAATATTCACAATCTTGGTAACCTTTCAAAAGGATTCTTCCAATTGCCTTCCATGTTTCAGCAGGAAAATCATGGCGAATGAAGGGCACTTTAACTGTTGTCCCAAGTGTGCATCTCTCATAGAATTCTTGCCAGAAGCAGCTGAGAACATCCCTCAGTACCCCAGAACCACTGCCTGCTTCTTCCTGTTATCTGGGAGAATGTGCCTCACATTCAATGATTTGTTTAAAATCTCTGCATCAGAAAGGCAGTAATCATGTCAGCTAGGGTGTTTGCATGATGTACAGTGATTGTTAGTTGTTTCTCTGCCTCAAGTGGACTGGCGGGGACAGGAACATTCTCAAATATGAGTGTGTCTTCTTCATCTTCCTCGATGCCGAAATGAGGACCAAAGGTGATTTCAGGATCACTAGAAATGTTTAGTGATCGCTGTATGTCGTCCAAAACAATAATGACATCTGTGTAGTCGTCATTTTCACCCGAGACAAGATTAAACTCAGAAGTCTCTTCAACTGTGTCGCTGTCAGCGTTTGCAGAAGGTTTTCGCTTTGTGGCAATGTAAAATCGCAACATTGTCATTTGCACAGTTTCATACATTGTGCTAATTGAAGGGCATGTTTCAGCTGTAAGGCAGTTTTGTTTAAAATCCCACACCTCAAAGTCGAACTCTGATTCAGGTCCTTTAGGTGATATTCCATCAGGAAAAAATAGTGTCTTTCCTGTTTCAAGGATTTCATTCAAACCAGCATTAGTTGATAGTTTAATTTTTCTAGTGCCACCTCCTTGTTTTGCCCTTACTTGTTTGGTTGTGTTAGTGTCATTGTGAATCCAGCCTATTCAATATTTCTTGTGGCTTTCAGCTTCTTTGTCTGTGTTTTTCTTGTTTCTGTACCTGATGCGTTTCCTTGAGAACTTTCCGATCTCACTGTCATTTTTTCCCTCAGTCTTTCATAAAGGCCTTTTTTTCGCTTTGATGTGGGCCTTTTACTTCTACAATGATTAAAGATGGCTATTTCGGTCTCCGTAGGAGGGGATGTATTTTTGAAGAGTGGCATCATCCATAAGACCAATGACGTCGCTGTCAATCTGCAAAGAAGAAAGAAAAGAAAACACAATGAAGTTTGTGCACATTGTATAACTATTGTCAACCCTTGTACATCGTTATATATAGATATATACTATTTTGCCATTTCGCAGACCAAATCAGTCCTGTTCATAATACAAAACATTCATTAATTTTCAGAATATTAACCCTTAAAAAGCCAGTTTTTGCCATGATGGTACTGTTGTCACTTTATTAGAAAAAAACAGAAACTACTAGTTTCCCTGGTTACCCTAAAGTTTATAACCTTCACATAAGTATAACCCTTAAAAGTGTTTTTAAAGTGGATTATTACAGCCGG